TGTTCATAATGAATTTAATTAAAGTTCAGAATCTTTAATTAAAACATTATTAATACATGTCATTCCCATTTAGAATGGAACGGTGTTATCCGCACTGTTAATATGGCGAGATATTGAATGAGTGTATTTCGCATAATGAGATTATGTGGAACATGGATGCAGACACTGAATTTCTAATAATTTCCGTTAAGCATAGAAATTCTGATTGAGTCTACCGATGGTCATATATAGGATGATCTTAATCCTGAGTTCTTAACAAACTCCTATTTATGGATTTATGTCTTTTGATTTACTCGGTACGGATTCCGAGACCCTGAATCCTATTCCTTGTATTTTGGAGACATAATGAAATAGGTAGCTGGGAATGTTATTATACGAGATGGAATCCATTCCTTCTTGAGAAAGAAGCAGATAAATAATTCTCTTGAGTGTTGATTCGGTACTTGGATTAGTAAGAGCGCTCAAGTGTTTAATTAATTATTAATTTTATTGGAGCTCGGGATTATAGGTCCATTAGTCCTCGCGTCGTCCTAGTAATTCTACCAGACACAGAGGGTAAAATGGGAAATTTTAGAATTAAGGAATTCTATAAATTAAATACTCGAAAATAATTAATTGAGAATTAATTATTATTTAAATAATGTGATTTTTTAAATTTGAATTTGAACACATCTAGATTTATCCATTTAAACTTATTTGATAAGTTGTTCAATTTAAAATTCAAATTAATTTAAGTTTGACTTAAATTCGAATTTGAATCTGAATTAAAATTGGACTACTGGATAAAGGATAAAATCTCTTTCTTCCCTATCTGGTATAGGCGCCACATACATAGAGTGTGGCCGGCCACCTTGTGGATAAGGGGAAGGGATTTTTTGTTCCAAATTCAAAATTGGAGATAAGAATTTGATTCTATTTTGAAGTTTGACTTCTTCTCTTTAAATATGAGAAATATAGAAAATTGTAGAGACAATTTTTAAAACATATTTTCAGCCCTAAAAGTGTAGTGGCCGAAATTCTCATAGAGGAAAAGAGAGCAAAATATTTTTCTCTAAAAATTCCACATCGTGTATGCGTTGGTGTTTGTGGAAATTCGAGTGTTTAAGGAACCTGTTTTACCTATTTTGTCTCACGTGTGCCCACACACACGTCTACGTGGAATCAAGGAATTGACGTGGAAGACTTTGGTATTCTAAACACAAAGCTTGAAGCAAGGACTGTTCGTGGTCAAAGAAATTCAAGTTATCATCCGAGTCGGCTTCCAGGTATTTTTTCGGTTGATCCTTGAATCATGTAAATTAATATGATTAATTTATTCGTGCATAAATTAATATAATCTATAGAGTATCTCAAAAGTTTTATGAAAATTTTTGTTATACACGATCCGCTGTTGTTTTTCATCCCCACCACGCTTCCGCACCCGAATTCGATTCGGGAACCAATAAAAATAGCACAGCTAAAATCTGAAAAAGGTTAGGTCAAGTAAAAAAAAGGATAAAAGAGCATATTTAGACAATTATAATAAAAAACTACGAACAAAATCAGAATCCAAAAACAGAATCCACATGACTAAGAAGTACATTTATAACAATTTCTAAATATGTCAAATAGCAGTAAGCAGATATAAAACAATTGTAATAAGCATTGCCATACAGTAAAATCAATTAAACATAAGAAATATGTTATGTAAAAATAAACCACTATATATACTATTGTGAAATAAATTAAGAACACAAAAGAAGACAACTATAGATCATTAAGTGAATAGGAATTAACTTTTCTAAGCACTATAGGAAATGACACATAGCAGTAACAATAGAACAAACCAGCACACTCAACATTAATAAAGAACAATTAAAACATCCAGACAGAAATCATTAATAGTACCTAAGATATTGTGAGCACTACCTTAAGTAACCAATGCCAGCCAACCAAAGAGGAAGGAAAAAGATAGAACTAAGACAATGGAGCAGTAAATATGGCAAGGTAAAGAAAGGTAGTAA